TTTGGCACTGGAGAACAGAATGTCCAGAAGTTGATCAGCAAACACATGGGAATTCAGTATGAAAAAGGCAGCAACTCAATCAGGGCATATAATGTATATTCAATACATGACAGTGGGAAGATGTGGCTAACTGGGGGTAAAAGCTGGGCCCCCTTTATTCTTTTCACCAAAGTAAATTTCAGAAGCATCAAAGAATTAAAAGTAAAAAAACGGAACCATGAAAGTCCTAGGAAAAAGGGATCAATATCTATAATTTTTGAGTGGGAAGCCCTAAGTAGGACCAAACCTCAGAAGCCATAAAGGAAAAACTTAACAAAATCTGACTATATGCAATTATATGATTCTGAATGAAAAAAAAAAAAAACCATCATGACCATGAACAATGACGAAAGAAAAACAATAACTTGGGGGAAATATTTACAATACATTTGACATACAAAGATATTATTTCCTCAGTCTATAAAGAGCTCATAAAAAGAATGACCTAATAGAAAAATGGGTATTTTATAGGGAAAAAATACAAATGATATATAAAATTGCATATGAAAAGATGCTTTACCTAATGTAAAAAAAGACACAGATCAATATATCATTTCTGATCTATCAGACTAGTCAAAGTTAAAAGTTATTGGTGATCGTAGGGATGTGGGGAAAAACACACACACACACTGTTGGTGGAAGTATAAATTGGTGCATTCTTTCTGAATTTGCTAATAGTGATTAAAATTTTAAATTCACATATCCCACTGCTAGAAATGTATCTTTCAGAGACTCCAAGAGTTCACCAAGATAGCACTGACAAAGATGCTCCCTGAAGCATTGATTACAACAGCAAAACGCCAGAAACGAGTGTCCTTGGGCAGGGAACTGTTTAGATAAATAATGCATATTTATAAGGTGGAATATTATGCAGTTGTGGGACAAGGAAGAGAGCTGGGAGGAGTGGAGGAGGAGGCTCATTTTTTACTTCATATCTATGAGTACTTGGAATCCATCTACAACTTTAATTTTTTTTTTTAATGCTCTCTAGGTGGCAAATTTAGGGTCATTTTAGTTAATGGATTTTTTAGGTTAATTTAAACAATCCAGTCTACAGGACTTAATTTTGGAGGAGTTAGCTAAAAATATATAGAGCTCTAAATTTAGCAATAGCTATATTAAAAAAAGATATATGGACCCTCTGCTTCAGCAATTCCACTGCTAAGGGTTTACCTCATAATAAACTTACTCAAATACAAGGATGCTTACCTCAGCACTGTTGGTAATAGCAAAAATTAGAAAAATACTCAAAAGCCCATTAACAGAAAACCAATTAGATAAATTATGGTGCATCCACAAGATGCAATTTTCTGCAGCTGCCTTAATGAGATAGATCTTTGTGTGCAGTATAGAAAGGTGCCTCAAATAGACTAATCAGTGAAAAGTGCAAAGTACAGCATGATCTCAATTTGTATAAATTTTTTGAAAAGACATGCATATATCATTCCTGGAAGGAAACTGAAGAAAGTATTAACAGCAGTTACCATTGGTGAGGGGACTCGGGGAAAAGAACCGTTTTTTTCATTCTATACTTTTCTGTACATCTGAATTTGCAGTGGCTACTTTTATTGAATAATTTTTTAAAAATCCTAATGAGGTAACACTCTGAAATCTTTATGAAAACAAGAAATGCTAAATTGACTACTTCAGGTTTTACTTCCTGATTCATCTCTTGGGCAAGGAGTAAATAAATAACACAAGGACCACGGAGGGGAAGTTACAAGAGAGGAAGAGATGGAGGGCATGGGAAAACCACTCTGGGCAGCTGAACATGGTCCCAGCCCATCACCGCCTCTTGCCAGGCCTGCCAGGACGGTGTCCTAATGGGCTCCCCATCCCTCAGAAGACAAAGTCCTACTCCCCAAGGGGACTCGCTGCCCTCTATATCCAGGCTCTTCCCTCCTCCCCCGCTCTCCCTGCCTGTCTCCCCTTCATACCTTGGATTTATGCTCAGCACTACCAAGTTGAGAGTTGATCCTCATGAGTTGACACTATTTCTTGGCTCCATGTCCTTAGCTATGTTCTTCCTACATCAGCCTTCCTCCTGTCTCTTTCCTAATTAAAGCTCATTGATAGCTCCACCCTTAACAAGGCTTCTGACTCCTCCAGGCTTCATGAGGTCTCTCTCCCGTGCTCCTCTGCCCTTGTCACAGTCTATGGCTCCTTCTCTCATTAGCCTATAAACTCAAAGACATACCTATACTGAAGGTTTTCACATTGGATCCTAGCTTTTTTTCATGGTTATAATATCACTACATCCCTCTGCACATACTATTTCCTCCAAGTGGCTTTTTCTGCTTTTCTGTCTTACCCTGTCTTACTATCGGTTTTCTTCACATACTTAGTAGCTAAGTTTTAGTGTTTTAAGAGTAAAACACTAAAAGGCTTAGTGGAAGCTTTGTGTATGAGCTTTTTCACTTTCTTAGAATGAATATACTAGGCTCTTCCCTGAGGAAAAAAAGTCTTTTCTTTCCAAACTCTTTTCTTTTCCAATGTCTTTTTTCTTGACTGGTCAGATACCACAGAGAAGGTGCCTCCATTCTCTTCGGCTGCCAGTCTAGAAGCCAGGTTGGGGAAGAAGGCTAGGTAGGGTGTGGTCTCACTATTCAGTTTGTGAACTTTCTCTTAATCCCTATTTTCAGTAATGGCTGCTCCTACCTACCCCTGCAATGTGTCTGGTATCTCCCAGTCCAGAAACTCTCTGGATGATTCCTTCTAAGAATAAATATTGGGAAAGAGTGACCCTTTAATTGGCCAAGATGGAAGTTTGGTCACTCAGCTGCTTGGGGAGTGGGGAATAGGAAGGTGGGATAGGATTGCCTCTTAAAGAAACTTCTAAGTAATCCTCTTGGTCTTAGTTCCCCCTTCACTCCAGTTTCCAAAGGGTCCTGGAACTACCAGCTCCTGAGAGAGGCCATGGTCAATGCTGGCTGCTTTGGAACTGGCAGGTGAGTTAGCCCTTGGCCTTCCACTTTGTGGCAATCACCTTTTGTCCTGTACTTTTTGGTCTTGATTTTTTTTTTTTTTTTAAAAAACCCTTTACAGTCCTTTCAGAGGGACCAAACACAATCTTTCACAGGTATGCTCTTGAGTACACCTCCCAATAATCCTATGACTTAAGTGTTATTATTCATATTTCATAAGAGAAAAAGAGGCTCAGAGAAGCTAAGTTACTTGCCAAGGTCACCCAGCCAGTACATTATGGAATTATAATTTGAATCATCTTTTGAGATCCATTAATGACATATTAGAAATAAGAAGATCATAGCCTGGAAAGTTTAAGTATTTACCAAGATTAAAAGGCAAGCAAGTTTCAGTACACAAATTTGAACCCAAGACTATCTGACTTCAAACCCTGTTCTCACTAGTATAACTTACTGCCCCATCTTTAAAGCCAGCCCAACCCAATTGCTTTATCGGGGCTCAAGAATATACTCTCAGGGGTCCACGAGTTGTCTTTGTGAATATATGTTTTGTTTTCATTTTTCCATATTTTTCTTAAAACCAGTATAATGAGGTTAATCTGGATAACACCTTTATAATCCAGCACTGCCCTGGGATTGCAAGGTCTGCATTTGCATTTCTGTTTGTGATCATTATCACAGGCTAACAAACTCAGAACAGTCTGCCTCAGTACCCTAGAAACAGTATTTTCACACCAAGTGAAGCCAGCCAAATGAAGTCAGAGTGTAAGAAGAAAGGCATTGCTGTCATTTGAAGAGAAAAGTGGCAGAAGAGAATCAGGTCATCCCACAGCAAGTGAATTTAGTTTGCCTAAACTCAAAAACCGGGCCATGAACAGTCAAGACTTTCAGCTGTAACAATTTCATTTCAGCAAAACATCAAAGAACATGTTAATGATCACTTGAGTGTTACTGGAATGGTAATTTTCTTTTAATTTACTTTGTTTTGGTTTTTAATAGTGGAATAAGAATTGCAACCTAGGAGTTTACACCTAGTATCATGTGAATATATATTGAAGTAACGTAACAATAAAAATAATTAAGGTAGGCCAGGGTGCGGTGGCTCACACCTGTAATCCTAGCTCTCTGGGAGGCTGAGGTGGGAGGATAGCTCAAGGTCAGGAGTTGGAGACCAGTCTGAGCAAGAGGGAGACCCCGTCACTACTAAAAATAGAAAGAAATTAATTGGCCAACTAAAAAAAAAAAAAAATATATATATATATATATAAATTAGCCAGGTGGCACATGGTGGCGCATGCCTGTAGTCCCAGCTACTCGGGAGGCTGAGGCAGGAAGATTGTTTGAGCCCAGGAGTCTGAGGTTGCTGTGAGCTAAGCTGACGCCATGGCACTCTAGCCCGGGCAACAGAGAGACTCCGTCTCAAAAAATATATAAATAATAATAATAATAATTAAGGCAAACACAGGGATCAGGGAGACTCCTGTTTGGTTTGTGGTTTTGTTTTTTCCCTTTACAGGGTCTGTTTGAAAACTCAGGCTAACCTGAATGCTGGCCAAATGGATGACAACCACTTCCTTTAATACTATTTTAGAACAAAGTCAGTACATGGGGATCTAACCATCTGGGGCAACTTCTGTGTCTCTGTTTCCTCTAATGTTTCCCATCACCATCCCATCTCTCAAATCATGGGTTATTCCAGATCATGTCTTTTTGGTAAGAAAACTGAGGCTCAGAGAAATTTAATTTGCTCAAGAACGCTGGGATGCACACTTGAGCAGTTGGACAACAGAGTCTTGTGTATTTAGTTTCTAGGATGACTTCATTTTAACGAAAATCGCAACACTCAGGGCTCAAAGCGCTCGCTGAAGTCAATGATTGTCTCTGCGGTTTTGAGAGGCCTCTTCCTGCTCTGGGTCTCAGTTTCCCCATCTGTCAAATGGGGGCGTGCCTCAGACGCCCAGGCCTCTTGCAGCTCTGAAACCGGTGAGACGAGAAGCGAGAGGGAGTGTGGTGATTGGTCCTCTCCTAGGTTCTTACCATTTGATGATGCTGTGAACCAAAGGTAAAAAGGAGTAATTCTCTTCCTCCCTCACGCGGGCTGGTGACTGAGGCCGCGGCGCGGGCGACTGCTGCGGTTGAGGCGCAGCGACCGGCGGCGGCTGCTGAGGAGGCGGCAGCGGCTTGGTGTCAGGCAGCGGTGGCTCGGACGACGGCGGTAAAGCATCTTCGGCCTGTCGCCCGGCAGCAACCCCAGCGGAGGCCATGGCGCCCGGGCTCTGTCAGGGAGTCAAGCCAACCGGACACCAGGGGTTGGCTGGGCGAAAGCGTCGCAGACTCTATACGTCACCATCGCGCGTCCCGCGAGGGGTGGGGCCTGGATGAAGGCTCTGAGCGTGCGCACGGGCCACGGGGCGGGGCAAAGACACGGGGGCGGGGAAGACTGTTGCTAGGTAACGTTGGCCGGTTTGGGGTGGCCTGGATTTGGTTGTGAGTCAAAATAGCTAAATTATTAAATAGTAAGAAATAAGAGATTTATTTCAAAAATGTCTTCTTATTCTTGTTCACATGACTAAGAGGGCCCCAGAGCAACTAACACAGGAGTCTTGGCTCAGACCGCCAAAGTCTCGCCAAGAACCAAGTGGAACTGCGGGAAGAGTAGGCAGCATTTGCCTGGCACCTGTGCGCTTAAGGCCTGAGCTCTCTGGGTGCTGGGAACCCAGAGACGAAGGCGCCTTCGCCACGCAAGCCTCCAAGAGGAGAGGCAGCAGACCCGAGCGAGCCCATAGGGTCAGACCTCGTGCTAAGCCCTAGTGCTAAGCCCTAAGGACGCAGAGGCAAAGAAATTGCTGTCCCTCCAAGTTCCACGGGGCTGCAGAGGGAGGAGTTAATAATTCCACTCAATAAACATTTAGTATGCACCTGCTGGATGGCAGGTGCTGGGTTAAATGTGTGTGTGTGTGTGTGTGTGTGGTTGGTGGGGAAGCTGGTCTCACTTTCAATACAATGCAGAGGGGATTCGTGCCAGGAGTATGAATATCATATCCTAGAAGAAAGCCAACATCAGGTACTCACCATACCTTTAGGCTAGTTCCTTAAGCCCCTAGGTCCCAGTTTCCTGGGAGGGGAGGGGACTGCAGCATTTTCTTCCTTCCAACCACGGACCTCTCCGCCTAAAGGAAGAGTTCAAGAGTCCTGGCAGAGAATGGAGGAGAAGACCCGTTGGAATAGGGCCAGAGATGCTTGACGAGATTGTATGCCCTTGGACTCGTCTGGAGAAAGAGTGACGCTATTATAGTAGTAATTGTAGTGATTACCACACTCCCATGGAATAAAAGTACAGACAAAGAACAGAGTCACAGTCACTATCTCATTTAATCCACAAAAGAACTCTAGAAAGTGGGTGTCAGGATTCCCATCTTATAGAAGAGGACACTGAGGCCAATAGCAGTTAAGATACTGGCAGGAGGGTCACGTATTTTGCCTGACACTAAGCCGATGGTTTTAACCAACACTAAGGAGACCTCAAGTCCCTACAAGTTCTGTAACTTTATGATTCAAGATGTTAAAGTGGGTTTTTATTAAGAATTTGAAAAACAATCCAATATTCATCAATAATATCCCCATGGCAATCACACATAATCTTTTCCCTCTCAGTGTGTTTTATAACTTAATTACAATCCCCAACTTTATCATTGGCAGAATAACGAGGACATCTCTTTTAAAAAGCACTTTAGGTATAAATAGATATGGCTAAAGAAAACAAACTGAAACGCAGGAAGCATTAACAAGTATGGTGCATCGACAGTGTGCCCTAAAAATAGCTAATATAATTAGCGGTAAAGAGTAAAGCTGACTTCACCGACTTCAACGTTGCAAGCGGATGTCAGAAAAGTACTGCCTGTGCTGGTTTCATTACAGCTGAAATTGCCGCAACAAATGTGTGTCTGTTTATAACCACACGGTTAAAAGTCAAAAAAGGCAGACACTTCACTGATACGTAAGGAGAATGTATTGTTAGAGACTTCACCAAGTTAAGCTACATGGTCATTGCTTTCTTAGGTAGATTTACACTATTTCCCACAGGACCTTGTCTAGTCCACTTGGTAGTTCCACAGTCAGGCTTTGGAGCCAGCTTGCCTGACTTCAATCCCAGCTCAGGCTCTCTGAAGTAGCGTGACTTCAGCCAAGTGCTTAACCTCATTTTGCGTGGCCGTGCAACCTCACAGGAGGACTGAATGGCTGTTACATGTAAAGCACTTAGAAAGTATCTGTGCTTAGTAAATGTTAATTCTTCTTATTTTTCTGATTTAGGGCTCCCTCCTTTACCAATTAACAAAGCCCAAATTGACAGCAGTTAAGAGGAATGAGCTACCTCAGGGCCCTCCAGTAGGAATATAACGTGAGCCACACATCTGAGCCACACATGGCCTTTCAGTTTTCTAGTAGCCACATTAAAGAAATTAGAAACAGGTGAAGTTAATTTTAATAACGTATTTTATTTAGCCCAGTATATCCAAAATATCACAATTTCAACATGTAATCAATATTAAGAATTATTAAACTGTTAGGTGTTTTCCTGTTTTTCATACTGGCTTTGAAATCCAGTGTGTGTTATATACTTACAGCACATCTCAATTCGAATTAGCCACATTTCAAGTGCCCAGGAGCCAGCTGTGGCCAGCAGCTACTGCGCTCACTGGACGGTGCAGAGAGATGGACGCATGTCGACACAGATGGCGACCGCAGTCATCCCTGTGGAAATGGAGAAACAGCAAGTTGCACAAAGGATTGAGGGTATAGTACCACTTATGTAAATGTTGAAACATACAAAATAACACTTTGTATTGTCCATAGATACCAGACATGTATGTAAGAATATTTGAAGAAGGAGCTAGAGAGTACAGCTCACATGCATGGGACGGGGGCTGGAACAGGGAATGGGAATGTAACAGGCACGGCAACTTTCTGTGTAGTGTTTTGTTTCTTTCATATGTTATAAGAGACCTAGAAACAAATAGGAAAAATACGAACAATTGGCAAGCATGGGGGTGGGTATGTGGGGGGATGGTATATAGAGTCCAGGCTCTGCTTCTGGCTGTCTGACCTGGGCGAGTCACTTAACCATCCTAAATCTGTCTTCCCATCTGCAAAATGGAAGCATATAGTGCCTACCTCACGGGGCTGCTGTAAAATTTCCAGAAGTCAAGGTACATCAAGGGCTTCAAACAGTGCCTGGCACATAGGAAGCACTATTTAAGCTTTAGCTGTTACTGCTACTTTCTAAAAATTAAAAAAAAACAAAACAAACAAACAAAAAAAAACAAAACAAGAAAGTTATTCCTTATGAAACCAACTGTTAATACAAGAACACGTACAAAAACCAGACTGTAACCACAATTGAACTTTCAGATGCTCAAAGTGGACCTGCATCACAAATACCTGTAAATGTTCTTGTGATATATTTCTGCTACGTGAAGTCCAAAAATAGTCCCTTCTCTGTCAGACAAACATCATGGGTCTTGTTAAAATGATCGTGTCATTGTGTGATTAGGGGCTTTTTCATCAAAGCTATATTCTTCCATATGATTCATCCTTTTCATAACCTGGAGCCTCAGACAGGCAGAAAAGCGACACAATACTTTGATTTTTGTGAGTTTAAAAATACAGGCAGCAATTATTGTTCAGGCCAAACGTAGTGCAATGTATACCAGGAATCAGCTCACTCAAGCCACGATTCATTGCTTATACTGCAGACAAAAGCCCCCTGCTCGGTTCCACCCAGCAGATTGCCTTTCTTCTCTCTCAGAACTCCGTTTGATTTTTTCTTTTTATTCCTTCCAGCCATCCTCTTCTTACTCTAAGATACTCCATTATGTCCAATTTCTCAACTCATTTTTGTTAGTGCTTTCACTTCTCAGAAGCACTCGTTTTGGGGTATTTCAAGAATACAAATCCGACTATATATCTTTCAGAATCAGAGAATTTTCTCCTTTAGTCTCCATTCCTTCTTTTTGTGATTTTCCACCAGACCTCCACCAGCTGCCCTAAAATTACCAAACAGCTTTTGATAGAATACCAACGAGAGGCAATCTACTCCAGGAAACAGTTTTTGTCTAAAATAGTTCATTATTATTTTGACACCATATTCCTTCTGATCTCTTTACTAATTTTCATTCAGATTATTTGTTAGCCAAGTTTTTTATTCTGTCTACCAGCTGCTCCCCAAAAGCCTCAACTTTAACTCCTCCTGTTAAGCTGTTTTAAAATACCCTTCTCCTGGTTATCTTTCTGTTTCTCACTCTTCACTTCTCCCCTTTTCTAGAACTTACTTTGTTTCACCATATTGGTTTATTGTATATCTTTTGAGTCCTGACTATTAACTTCAGTTTCAAAATCATAGTTAAAAATGATTATGAAACTGGAATGCTGAGGAGCATAGTGTGGCTAAGAGGACCCAGCCCCCTGGCTGGGCTTCCTGCCCTCTTGGGACAGGAGGAGAGAGCCTGTAACCACAGACCTCCAAATATCCAAAGCTGTGGAAAGCAACAAGTTCCAAATGGCAGTAGCACCTCGACTGTCCCCTAGCCCCTGCCTTCTCTATAAGGTGTCTTTGGAAATGTGGTTCTGTGAGCTATGAACATTTCCTCCCAATTCCCGGACCTCTGCCCGCCAGCTCCACGCCGAACCCCCAGCGCAGGGAACTCTGTCTGTTTCCCAGTGGGCTGAGAGGGGCGGCTCGCTGTTCTCCCCACACGCCACTACCCTGTCTTTGCTTGGCGGGCTGGCAGAAGGATGCCAGTGGGACAGGCACTTGCCTCTATCCTGAAGGTCACACAGAGCACAGGGAGGATGATGACTGTTTTTTGCCCAACCTTGTGCTGGGCATTTTACATAAACTTGTTCCCTTCTTTAAAAAGTCTGATGTATTTATTACCCTACCTGCCAGAGGAGAAACCAAGACCCAGGCCCACACTCTCTCTAGAAGGCTCACAGATTCGTTCCTTCCAAACCCTGAGCTTGCTCGTCAACACAGCTCACTGGCCTTACCAGCCATCTGCCAGGAAGGGACCAGCGGTCCTCCCCGCTGCGGCTCTCTCTGGCCTGCCAGGTCAGCATGAGCGTGTGACACGGAGCGCACACCAGCTGGAGGGCCGAAAGGGGACGGGACTCGCAGTCAGGCGTGAGGGTTGGAAGGCAGCTCTGCCACGCCCCAGCAGAGTTCCCTGGTGCAGGCGCTGGCCTGGCATGGTGAGTCCTGGCATCGGTGGGCAGGGCAGCGCAGAGCGAGGACCCCTCCCCAGGCCTCGTTTCCCTCCTTTAAAGTGGGCTGGGTAGAGGACACAGCTGCCATGATCTAAGTCGTTCCATTTCTCTCAAACCAGCTTCCCTCACCTGCAGACTG